AGTCCAGGTTTACGAGGCCCCGCAGCCCCGTGCGCCCAGCCCCAGCCGCCGCCTCCACCACCGGTCACCGGTCCCCATGTTCCTTGAGTTTATAAGCTCCGATTACCCTGCTGTGCGTGCACTCTAGGGCGCATTCCTCTCCGCCAGCTGCAGTTTCCTGTCTGTGCACACACCCTGGGGCGCTGCCCGGAGCCTTCTGGCTGCAGAGAAACAGTAAGGACACCAAGGACACAGAGAGACCTGGAGGCGTGTGTGTGTGTGCGTGCCCAATCCAGAGAGGAGAATGGAGAAGGGGTCGCAGCGGGGCCACCCGCCCCTGGGCGTGTTTTCTGTCTCTCTGTCTCTGTCTTTCTCAAAAAAAAAACAAAAAAAAAAAAAAAAAAAAAAAAAAAACCTGGATGAATGGATAGGGTTTGTTTTGGTTTGTTTGCTTAGTCAGTTGTTTTGTTGGGTGGACTATCTGGAAACAAAAAATCTATACTAGGATACTAGGAAAGATAGTGTTGGTTGAAAATGACTTAACTAACTCAAGCGCATCAAAGCTTCCATGAGAGCCAACATCTATTTATCAAAGTAAAAGAAAGGCGGGATGGCCCTGGGCCTCGGCCACACCCAGACAGGAACCCTGACGCCCCTGAGCCTCCATCTCACTGCTTCTGTCTCCGCACTGGATCCATTTCCCAGACCTCTTTCCTGTCCCGTCTGTAATCACAGCCGTCTCTAGGTCGTACCTCTCGACATACCAGCAAAGAAATGCAGTTACTCTCTGGCCATGGAGAGCTCTAGGAAATAACTGACACTCACACAGCACCAGGTGCGGGGCCTGAACTCTGCATGTCTGTGTAGAGCTGAGGGACTGGGAGACTGAGCAGCCACAGCTGTGCCGGGTAGGAGAGCCCACTCATGGGTCAGACCCTAACCTGACCCTGGAGCAGGACAGGTGAGGGATGTGCAGTAATCATCAACGTCCATATCTCGGAGGCTCAGGACAAAAAGATTCCTTTCTCTCTCACGTCACCTGTCCATCAGGAGGTTGAGGGGGTTCTGGTCCTTGTCAGAGTACTTTCCATGGGAAGCGATCTTTTTTTTTTTTCTTTTTGGAGAGGTTTTCGCGGGGGTTCTGGTCCTTGTCAGAGTACTTTCCATGGGAAGCGATCTTTTTTTTTTCTTTTTGGAGAGGTTTTCGCTATAGGGCGCGTGCGCTCACCAGACAGACAGACAGAGACAGAGAGATAGAGAGCTAGAAATCACCCCCCAGGGGGGATGGCCGCGCCGCAATCCCTTCTCCTCCATTCTCCTCCCGGGATCCTGGGCACGCATGCACATGCGCCCGGCGTGAGTTTAAGCGGCCGGGTCCGAGACAGGAACCGCAGTCGACTACGTGGGAGTCCAGCGACATAGCCCTTACGCTAACTGCTGGTCCCAAGCGATCTTGAAATTGTAAACAGACAAAACTGAAAACGGTGGTAACAGAGCAATTTAGTCATTTTCATTGTATACAGCATTTAAAGGTAACTGACTTAGGATTGATGTCATTACAGTAGTACAATTGACTTTAGAACATTAATTTGATTAATCTTCATAACTCTTTCTTTAGCTCTTTTCACATAATGCAAACCTTCAACAGCATGCTTCAGACCTTTCAGTTTGTGTCCCTTCTTTCCTGTTCTGAGATACTCTAGCCATTCTACCTACGACAGAACCTTTACCTTGCAAAATTCCTTCTGTGCAGAAACCTTTCCTTTTAACCTCCTTTACCAGAAATACATTTTTTGCAGTTATAACCTTCATTTTGTATCTTTTTCTTTCTTATTTACTATTATTCTTGTTTTTCTTTCATAAGTTTATTTGTATAAATTACCTTATCCTTTGATCTAGACCGTTAAACTAAACTATCCTGGCCTAGAGCAGCTGCTGGACTCCACACTTGATTCTTATGGATGAGCAGAAATGGTAGGAGGCTGTTTCCTGAGCTGTTACTAAGTTACAGCCGATCACGCTCCACACTCCAGTCCATCACAGAAAGCCCACCCTTTAGGCTGTTCATGCAGCCTACCACTTGCCTGTCCCC